AGCCAATAGTTACACCCAATAAATAAAAAAATCTACAATGTCATTCTTAAAAATACAATTTGCTAATTTGGCGTAATCTGATTGGCCTATTAGTATTTTTACTTTTCATTTAAATTATTTTTAATGTCCATAATGTATTTTATTTTTTGTTTGTTTGTATGTTGTCTTTTTGTACATGTTTTTTTTTTTTTTTTTTTTTTTTTTAAGAAATACATAATTATAAATTATGCAAGTCTATCTTTATTTAATTGATTTTCGAATTTATAATTATAATTAAAAATCAAATAATTAAAATTATTCATCATTATTCATCAATGTAACATCTCCGATTTACTAGCTAATAATAAACAAGAATTAAAGGAAAATAAACAACCTTTAAATAAAATTGGCGGAAGCTTACACCTAAATCCATAAGCAGATCTAGGGGGTGGCCTACCCGGACCTTGGCCCCCCTATGCCCATATTTTGATACATACTTCCTCCGTTATCTTCTAGATGCAATACACCCTTTAGCACGGTAATTAAGAAAGGTGGGGTTTACATGATATAATAAACTTTAAAATAGGATGAGTGGTTGTTAGGAGTGTAATTTAGTGGGCCATGTGTTTTAAATAAGGGAAATATAATAATTTTTCTATAAAGTAACTTTCCTTTTATAGTGTGTTGCAAGTATTGTGACATTTCCTTTTTAGGGAAGTGTTGTAAGTAAAAGAAAACGGAGGAAGTATAAATCAAATATCTTCTGTAAAATATACTCCCTCCGTCCCCGAATGATAGTCACTATTTCCATTTTTGGACACCCAAAATGTTAGTCACATTTCACAATTTTAGGTCCCATACAATAACACAAAATGACCTATATACCCTCATTTTTTTGGATGTATTATCTGTGCTTCCCAAAATACCCTCATATTTGCCTTTGTACTTGTGCCTTAATTGAATGAGTTGTCTCCCTTTTTAATGACAATGAGTTTCTCTCTCTTCTTTTTGTGTTTGCAAATGATTGGGTTTTAGTTCCCATGTACTTTATTTATTTCTCCTTAATTCCCGTGATTTTCACCCAAAAGTGACTATCATTCGGGGACGGAGGGAGTATAATTTTGGTAGTTGGTTTAGTCGGTTAGTTACTTGATGTATAGATGTGGGAAGGTTAAGGGTTCAATTCCCCTTGTTTGCACTTTTTTTTTTTATTCGTGTGGATTTCTTATACTCATATTTCTTTGGCTTAATTAATTGAAATTAGAGCTGATCACACTAAGCCCGGCTCGATTTTGGGCGAGTTTTGGGCAGAATTTCCCGGTCTGAAATCGGGTCGGGCCTGGGTTTAATTTTAATTTGGGTTTAATTTTTTTTGGATTTCTGGGTTTAATTTGTGTGGTCGAATGCCTTGATTTTTTTTTTTTCTGGGTTTAATTGATTTTGAAATTTTCATGGATTTTTTTGGTTTTTAGCCGATTTTCTGGGTTTTTTGGTTTAATTGATTGTTCTATTTTACTCGATTTTCTAGTAGATGTTATTTTATTTTTTTGGGTTTTTGGGTTTAATTTGTGTGGTCGAATGCCTTGATTTTTTGGGTTTTTTAGCCGATTTTCTGGTTTTTTGGTTTAAATGATTGTTTTATTTTATAAGATTTTCTTGTATTTGTTATTGTATTTCGGATTTTTATTCTGTTTTTTTTTATTATTATTAATTTCGGACTATTTTTCTGGTTTTTTTTATTATTAATTTTTGGATTTTTTTAATTAATTTCGGACTGTTTTTCTGGATTTTTTTTTAAAAATCTTTCTGGGTGTAATTGATTTTCGAATTGTTGAGTTTAATTGATTTTTTTTAATTAATTTATTATGGGTTTTTATTGATTTTGGTGTCCAAAATTTGATGTAGGTTTACACTTCACATAGCAAAAGGATTCAAGATGTTGATTATGGAATTGTAAATTTTGACAAAGTTTTATTTTGATGAATTGTAAAGTATAGACTTGATAAATTTTTATTTTGATGAATTGTAAAGTACATATTTTTTGATGAATTTTTATTTTGAATATATGTACTCGGTATGTAATTATTAAGATGTAGATTTTTTGAATATATGTATGTAATTATTAAATACACTTGTATTATGTTTTTAATATGATTGTCTACTAATTTTTAAGTGAAAAAAATAAAAAATAAAATATAATAAAAAAAAATTAATTAATAATTCGGTTTGTTATTCATAGCCCTAAGGGCTATGAATGAAAACTAACAAATTCCTCCAATTAATGGTATATATCTTATTCCAATGGAATCTATGACAAACTTAATATTAATAATTAGACCATCATTCAATTCTCATTAAATTGTATTTAAAATATTATTTCCTACCCACTAATTAGTTATGCACATTAATTTAGGAAATAAAATACGTTCATTGTACTGCAATTCTGTAAATCATCTTGAAAGCAATTTTTTTCTTTTTTTTTTGTTTATAAAGGGAAAAATAAAAAGAGCACACGATTATTTTAATGACTTTGATTTCACTGGAATTGGTCTAAGTATGGCAGTCATATTATTACAAATTCGTCCTGTACAGCAATATCATTCTAAAATTTTCAAAAGTAAAAAGATTAACTACATGATTTAAAAAATTTTACAATTAAAATAGTAAAATATATTTCAACAAGTTAGAGCAACTCCATTGGCAAGCTAATTGTCAAATTAGCTTGCCATGCCACCTAAGATTGCAAGGCTATTATTCCTGCTAGCTAATTCATACCACAATGGTTAGGCTAATTAATATTTAGATTTTTCAGCTTTATTTTTTAAATAATTAGTATTTTATTAGAGACAATTAATTTCTAAGCTAATTAGCTTAGCTAAGCTAATTTGCTTGGCATTAGCTTGACCAAGCTAATTATTAAATATACTCCAATGGTTGGGCTATTAGCTTGAAAATTATTAAAATTGCAAGCTAATCCTTGAAAGCAACCATTGGAGTTGCTCTTAGGTAGACAATATCAGCAAGTCAAATAGGATTTGTATCCTTCTTTTTTACTCCGAATACGTAAGAGTGGATTATAATGTTAGGGTAGAATCACAAGTATTAAAACAACTAGCAATCTAGCATGATCGTAATTTGCTTCAATAAAAAAAATAAAAAAAAAATTATCAAACCAGTATACATTACTTCATTAACAGGAAAAAAAAGAAAAAAAAAAGACAATTTATCAAACAGTTTGTGGACAATAAGATTATCACAATGCAATAAATTATTTTCACAATACTGATGGTGATGAATTGATGATCAATTACTCATTAAAACAAAATATTCATCTCATAAAAGACAAAAAGACATACCTTTTAGAATAAAAAATAATTCCTAAAACTCTTGCTAACCTTTTTTTTTCCACTAGTATAGATAGAAAAGATGTAAAATGACGAAGAGGAAATGTTGTAAGTTAGTTTGTTGGAGACTTCAGATTTTTTTTTTTTTCCTCATATATTTTTATGGTATAAGTAAGATGAAAAGTCTTATTCCAATTTAGGCGTCAATCATTAGTTTCATGGGGAATTAACATATTTGTGTGGGTATGTGCTATTTATTGACTTGTTGTTTTTTATTCTTCCCCATAAATATTAAACATGTACACTATTATTTTTATTGAAAATATAAGAGAATCTAGACATGTATTAATGATTATACATAGCCCTAAGGGCATTTTTGGGCACTTTTGGCACCGGTTTGCATTGCGATCCTTCTCCTTCCCTTAAATCAATGTTCTGCCTTTTAGTGTTTGCATTGCGATGACTTCGTTGTTGACTTAAATATATTACTCCCTCCGTCCCTAAATTACATTCCTATTTCTAGCACTTATTCCTCACATAATAGAGGAAAACAATAATGTAATTTAGGGACGGAGGGAGTACAAAAAATAAGTACATTGATGACGTACCATACCATACGTGTTTCTTGAGTTTACCTATTCATATTCAACTTGTTCACATGCATCCATGATCCATCTGCTATTAAAAATAAATTAATACGATTAAGAGATCCTTCAATATTTCTACCATTAAACAATGACTTCTTTAATAATTGGATCTAATTAATTATTATTAATTAAGCTATTACACTGCATATAATTAGTGTAGAGTAGATCTAGCTAGCAAATATTTACTCCAGTAGCTTAGCTTATTGAGTCAATGTTAGTTCAGTTTCCTAGAATGTTTGGATTTGGAAGTGTGCACAAATATAGAGATTGGATTATAAGCACTGTCAAAACGGTTTGACAGGTTGGGTTCGGTTCGGTTTCAAATCAGTTCGGTATTAAATCGTGTCGGTTTGAAATCGGTTTAAATGTATCGCGGGTCGGTTTCAGTTCGGTTTAATTAGTTATCGCTTCGATTCGGTTTCGATTTATTCTTGAGCGGTTTTAATTCGGTTCGGGTTGTAAACGCTTCGGGAAGTAAACGGTTCGGTACAGCCGGGTTGCGGTTTGTTAACGGTTCGGTGTAAACGGTTTTTATACCGGTTCAAACAGTTTCGGGTTGGAAACGGTTTTGAGTTAGAAACGGTTCGGTTCTTTTTCGATTCAGTTTTATTTTGGTTCGGTTTGTTAACGGGTTCGCCTTTTATACGATTTAGCATTATTCAGATCAGTTCCATTTCACGTTTACTAAATTATGGTTCAGAACGGTTTTTATTTCAAAAAGTCGGTTTTTAATCGGGTCGTTTGGATTCAGGCAGTTAAACAATTTTGGTTTAAAATTCCATACTACTTGCTAACTAACTTTTTGCTGGTTAACAAGTTTTATATCAAGGCGAAACTTTATCACTTCATATTTAGGCATTTGGCATTATATTATATACAAATTCTCATCAATTTTAAAAATACATATCATGTTATTTTCAAGGAAAAATTGATTTTTGCTACCTATCAAACAAATCAAATTGAATTTTGCTACCTATCAAAACTTTTATTTTATTTTGCTACCTAACAAATGCCCTTTTTTTAAATTTTGCTACCACCGTTTGTCACCACCCTTCAGCAACTCGAGTGTTTCGGAGTGCCCCAGGAGTTTGTCCAAAAGGCAGAAGAATGTGGATGGTCAAGACAAACCCTTAGGCTGCCGCATAACTTTGAAGCCATCATTGAACAATCTGACACTCCTGTTGACTTTTCCTCCATCAGCAAGCTCTACGAGCAGCTCATTGCTGGAGTTTTCTTGAATAATAAAACACAGGCTTGTTCACCAATCATCTCTATAATTTATTTTTTCTCAGTGTTACTGCTTAAAGTTGAGTCTGATTTCCTAAGTACTCAGTTTAACCTGTGATGTAACTATGCAGAAATACTGGGTGGTGAAGCAAAATGACATCTACTATAATTGCTTCATGTTGTATGCCACATGCCTATCTTTGGCTGAGTGTGACCCATTTAAGTATGTTCCCTTGGATAATTGCTGGGGATGGAGCGTAATTGAAGAAAGGTATAGGCTAACATTCTGTATATCATTTGTTGTGTTGCTGCCAAATTCTATTCAAGAGTAATCATAATATAGATAGAATCTGTTAAATTTGATGGTTTTTAGATCTTTTGGTACATTCAATGTAAATTATAGTACTTAATAGTCGATTCGCGTTACTTATTGTACGGACAATAGTTTGTGCTTGTTTTTATAGTAAGTTCACATTTCAAAGAGGAATCACAATATAGATTTAGTCTCTCTTTTTTAATTAGAATGTCTTCAAGTCCTTGATGTTTGTTCTTATTTGGGTTAATTTCTGTGCTGCAGCGATGGAGCATTGATAACAGTGGGAAAATTGAAACCAGCATCTTTCAGTAATAAGCTCTTCTATGTGATGGGGGATTTTGACGCTGGAAATCTCTCGCCAGAAATCAGTTATGAAGTTGCATTTGTGATAAAAGTGCCTTTCTCAGCATCTGAAAGGTGTCTGAAGGCTGCTAGATCTTATTTTTCCTACGCTCCCGGAACATCCCATGCAGAGGAAATTGTGTTGGTTGACAAGCAAAAAGATGTATGGATTCAAATAGTTATTGGTGAATTCATGACATCCCCTGCATCTATTGACCAGACTCTACACTTCAGGCTGGCAGGGATCGAGCCTGGGTTCGAAATACAAGGTGTTGTTGTTAGGGCTGTTCAAAAACCGGTCCTGACCAGAACATTGGACCAGACTGGAGTTACTGGACCAAAGACCGACTATACCAGCCTAAAGCTTTGAGCTTTTAACTGATTGTAACCTTAGATTGGTGTTGGTTCCTTTTCTCTCTCTCTCTCTTTTTTCCTTTTTATGAGGCCGATTTTCTGATTGGATTTGTTCTTTATATCCTGTATAATACAAGAAAAGAGCATTATGTAAAATTGGATGACAAGCCTAGGAATGAATGAATGTATACAAGTTTTGGCCAGTAAATTTCATTATTTCAGGCATCCTCGCGTAATGTTGGAGTGGTGAGATTTTCCATGAGTTTTCCTCTACAAACCCATAGAGAAAAGTGAGTTGATGATAGTCAAAGGTGTTATCGTTGAGCCAAAGCTTTGATTTCTTAGAGACATTAATGACATCTTTATATGTTTCAGAGATAGTATAATGACATGATTATGCTGTGAGAGAGGGAAAGAAAGAGATTACAAAGTATTACTTGAGGTTTGATCAGGTAAGAGAAGCCTGCTGCATAGCTAAAGTGTGGACGTCATCTTCAGCTCACCGTAAGTATGATAATCTTGTATGAAGTATATTGGATTAATCTGCATTTAGTGCATTCCCTTGTTCAAAACTTAAATTCTGCCAAACAGTTACATGTGAATATGCTGATGTGAACATGTTAGAACTTAAGTAAACAGGATTCTGTCATAGATTCACTGTTGTGAACATGTTAGAACATAGGTAGCCGGGATTTTTTCAAGAGAATATCTGTTGAAGATTTGCAAATATTTGACATACTGTATGATTATGTGTGTTGAAAGATGGAAAGGTTGGCTTGTTGAAATTGATCTTTGTGCTAAGAACAATAAGGCATGCCTGGATGTTTAGTGTGATTATTATCTTTCTATTTTGTAAAATATGATGACATTCTGTATTATGTTAATATGTATGAGTTATGTTCATTGAAAATCTTTCAACAATAAGAACTCATTTTTCTTGATCTATTTACAAAATTTTCTCTGTACGGGGGGTTGATGTGCAATTTTTTTTTTCTTTTTCTTGTGCATATGAATGTTGAGTAGTTTGAGGGTATACATAAATGTGGCTTTTTTTTTTTTACACGGTAAGATCGATATGGGGGTGCCCCTCTTATCACAGGAGGGGTGGGGTGAGGATCGAATCCATGTCACTCTTGGGGGAGATGGAGGGACAAACCCTCCCTCAATTCCATGATCCTCAAATGTGGCTTAATTATTAGAGATAGAGGTTAGTAACAAATAAATTCAGTATTTGGCGTTGAAGGTATTTGCAAGAGGGGAACAATTGTGATGGCAACAAAATTATTATTGAATAATTAGGGCATGTTCTCTTATGTTGAATTCAGCTCAACTCAGCTCAATTCAGTTTAGTTCAGCTCCTAATTTCCTTCTCTTATAAAAATTCAGTTCAGTTTAGTTCAGCTCAGTTCAATTCAGTTCAGTTTAGCTCAATTCAGTCCAGTTAAGTTCAGTTTAGTTTAGTTCAGCTGAGTTCAGTAAATAAGAACATACCCTTAGACTGTACTCGTGTCAATGCACATGTTATATCTTTGGAAAAATTGACATTTACTACCACCGAAAGCACCCTGTATCATATTTGTCCACCCACCCAATTGGACTCTCAAAGGATATTAAGAACCATGGTATAAATTTCAGAAATTTTTATTTCCGGGCGAAAAAAATCAAAAAATTTCAAAATTGAAGGCTATCCACGCTTTTTGATAAATTTTGGAGTTTAGGGGCCTAGTGTAGAAAAATATTAATATTTCAGGAGTACATCTCGTTGTCATATAATACCGTTTGAAACCATATATGATCATTTTATGTTGTCATAAATGTTCGTAGTAGGCTTGAATAAATGAAATTTGTGCAAGTTATAAACAGGTAATTAAATTGGTCGTTTAAAGGCAAATTGGATGGTTCCACCAACCCAATTGGACTCCCAGAGGATATTAGGGACCATGAAAAATATTTCGGCAATTTTTATTTCTAGGCGAAAAAAAGTCAAAAAATTCCAAAATTGAAGACTAATATCCATGTTTTTTGAGAAATTTTGGAGGTTTCGGGGCCCGGTGTCGAAATGTCTTGAAATTTTAGGGGATATATATCGGGGTTATATAATGCTGTTTAGAACCATATATGATTATTATTTGTTGTCATAAATGTTTGTGGTAGACTAGAGTTAAGAAATCGGTGAAGTTGTAAACCGGTAAACTGATCGTTTAAAGGCAAATTGGATGATTCCACCCACCCAATGGGACTCCTGGACGGTATTTGGGACCATGGTAAACGTTTCGGTAATTTTTATTTTTGGGCGAAAAATAAGTCAAAATTTTCAAAATTGAACACGTTTTTTGAGAAATTTTGGAGAATTCAGGGCCCGGTGTCGAAAAGTCTTGAAATTCTAGGGATACATCTCGGGGTCATTTAATGCCGTTTGGAACCATATATGATCATTATTTGTTGTCATAAATGTTTGTGATAGGCTTGAGTTAATGAAATCGGTGCAAGTTATAAACCGGTAAATAGGCCGTTTAAAATTGGGTGGTTCCACCCACCTAATTGGACTCTCGAAGGATATTAGATACCATGGTAAATATTTCGACAATTATTATTTCCGGGCTTAATTGCATTGAACTAAACTTAATTTTTTATGAGAGAAGAAAATTAAGAGCTGAACTGAACTGATTGGAGTTGAACTGAACTGAACTGAACTGATTAGAGCTGAGCTGAACTGAACTGAATTGAATTGAAATTAAGTAAATGTGAACAGACCTTTATTACGGAGTAGTTTAGGGAATTAGACCCATAAATTTGAATCTACAAGATTTTCTTGAATATTTGATACAATTATATTAACATCATTTCAAATATTTTATATTATCTTTATGACAAACATATTACTTTTTATTTGGTGTTCATAAATATACATTTACCTAAAATATTATTCCAACTCCTTTTGTAATTATCTGATAAATGGAGTGATATTAGATTTTACTAAAAAGTAATACTCCATAATAAAATTTATTTCTATTATTGATATTTAATAAATTACTTTAAAGCATCACTTTTCTTTATTAGATATAATTATTTTTTAAAAAAATAAATTACATGGGGTTTTCACTTTTGGTAATGGGATACTTAAAAAAAGGTCCGTTTATGAAAAGTGAGACACTTAAAAAAACGGAGGGAATATCACATAAAGTACACTTTTTAAGTCAACTTGACTCGGATACAATCATTAGTACCTAATGATACTCCCTCCATATTTAAATAATTGCTCAATTTCTTCGGACATGAAAATTAAGTAAGAATACGAGTAATATAAAGTATTACTTCTTATTCTCTAAAAAAAAAAAAGTATTACTACCTCCAACCTAGAAAGAACGACCCATTTGGCCTAATTTTAGTCCCAAAAATAATGACCCATTTGCATTAAAATCCCCACCCATTTGCAATAATAATTATGCAAAATTAGCTTCCCCATATAAAATTTTGTTTTTCTATGTACTTTTATTAATTTCTCTCTTTACGTTTTTACAAACTCCATGTAAATTTATCTTTCCAATATACTTTTACTTCTTTTTATTTAACTTTCTTAATACCTGCGAAATCAACCCACATGAGTCGTTCTTTCGGGAACGGAGGGAGTACTTCTTATTTCATGATTGAAAATTTGAGATGGGTTGGTTGAAGAAGAAAAATAATTAATACTCCATAAAATATACTCCCTTCGTCCCCAAAACTTCGACCATTTTGGGTTGATTTTGCGGTTATTAAGAAGCTTAAATAAAAAGAAATAAAAACATATTGGAAAGATAAATTTACATGGGATTTGTAAAAAAGTAGAGAGATAAAGTATTAAAAATACATGAAAAAACAAAATTTTATATGGGGAAGCTAATTTTGCACAAATATTGTTGTAAATTAGTGGGTATTTTAATGAAAATGGGTTGATTTTTTTGGGACTAAAATTAGGCCGGAGATCAAAGGTTTGGGGACGGAGGGACTACATGTTTTATTTTATTTTAATTGACATAGATATTTTATCACCCTTGTCTGTACAAACTTTAATGATTAATAAATTTATATCTCCATAAGTAAAAATTATAAAAGTTAGTATTATGATATTTATTAAGATGAATTTAAAAAAATCATACATGAATAAGTTTTTTTCTTACATATCATTTACAAAAGACATTCAAATGAGGGATGGTAAATAATGTTAAAGTCGAAGTGGGTCATGTAAAAAAAAAAAAAAAAAAAGGAGGGAGTAATATGGAGGATGAGAAACCACTAGTATATACTATATATACTACCTCTGTTATTTTTTCCAACTTTAAAATATTTTATATCTAAAAATAGGGTTATGCTATATGTAGCCCTAAGAGTTATATATAAACATTAAATACACTCTTGGAAATTGTATAAAATTATGAATTCATGACAAAACACGCATAGATCAGTGTAATTAGTGTTTATATTTTTATGATTTCTTAACTTTTTACGATTTTCAAGTGTAAATTTAATGCTTATATGTAGTTTTAAGGGCTATGTATATCAGTTTGCCTAAAAATAATACCCCAACTTTGGAATATGAAACGGATGTAGTATTTTAATAAAGTAGGCTAATTAATTAATGCGGATGACTTCCTGAATTATTGATCCTAAAATAGATAAAATAGTACCCTAATCCGTCTTGTGTGTGGCTGGTCAGCCCGTGTGGCCACGTATAAAAAAAATAATAATAATAAAGTAACCCCCATAACACTGACTAAGTAATCCATGCAATACTGACATAATAACTCCTATTACACTAACGTAGTACTCCCTCCGTTTTTAAATACTTGCTTCATTTCTATTTTTTGCACTATTCATTCGTCCTATTGACTAATGTTTGTGATTTATACATATGAAAAAAATATAGACTTGTGGGTACTTGTTGAAATGATTAAAGATTAGCATCGACATGTGTGTCCAAGAAAAATGGAGCAAATATTTAAAAACGAACGTAATAACCTAAATAACCCCTACCCGGCTACTCCGTATTACATTGACGAAGTAACCCTGTAATAGTTGACCAAACAGTCACATATAATGCGACAGTACTCTCGTTTAGTCGTTTTATTATTTTATATACCAACTACCAAGTAGTCTAAAATGAAGTCGTCCCTAAAAGAGTTAAAAGTCTTTCTGCTCCTCCGCTCAGGTAACGGGTAACTCTCTTCTACTTTCTCTCTCTAAAGTTCCTTTTTTATTTAATTTTCTGTTATACTAAAATTCCATTCAATCTTATTACTATTGTTATCGATTTTCTTGCATTCCCTTTTTAAATTTTATTATTGCTACCAGTAAACAATCATTTGAGATTCGAAATCAAGTGATTTGTTTTGCTATATATTAGTCTTTGTCTCTTTGATAATTGATATAATAACATTTCCCTTAACACAGTTGAACCTTGTGTTATTACAATTGTTAAGCAAATTTTCAAAGAAAGATAGTTTGATTATGATTAGATGCTGTTTCGGGTGAAAACAATGGGACCTTGCCGAAGGTCCGATGAAGTGGTGAAGACTAGATTCGATCCAAGAAATGTTGGGCCGAAGGTTTCCTGCACAGTAAACACACGTAAACTAGCCTCGGGGGTGTTGCCGAGGAAGGCCCCTCCGATGCTAAAGTCAGTACAGTGTGTAGAAAGAGAAGACTATGCAAGAGAATTAGTTGCTTGAGGCTTTTCTTGAATGAATGTAAAAATGTAATATTGATGGCTTTTATACCTCTTCATACATGGAGAAGTTGGGCCTTAGCCCAATTGACTTGCCTTGAAGACTGATCTTTGACTTTAGCACAATTGGAGAGATGAACCTTGACCTTGGGCTTTTAATTGGATCATTTAATGCCTAAGCCCAATTGGACTAAATTGGACCCAAACAACTTGCCCCCCAGACCCGATTTGCAAGGATGACGGGTCGGGTCTGATTTAATCAGAAAAGGAGGGAAGTGAATGATTTAATTAATCTAGAAATTTGAATTTAAACCGTAATTAATGAGATAACAACGGTTAAGGCGGATGATTGTGGAAGTTGGACGGATAATGGGCAGTTTAATCGCAAGGTCGTGTGTTTAACGGTTACTTAGTGGGGTATTTAAGAGAAATTGAAACGCGGACTCCCCGTATTCCCATTTCTGGAGATATAATCAGAGGCGCGTCATCTCTCCTCACTTATTCACCAACACAAACCCAGAATTCTCGAGAGAACCCAAGAACCCGCATCAAAACTTCGCAAATTCCCCGAGCATTAAGCTTAGAAACTGAGACTTGCCACTACCAATTCGTAAATCGGCAACTTTCGCTTCAGATTAAGGTAAATTCCTTTGATTT